TGGCGCTGCCCGCAGAGCCGCGGTGCGCGCATCTCCGCAGGCTGGCCGGAGAAAAAGTGCTTGCGGGGCTCCGTCAGCGGAAGCACCTTCAGTGCCTCTGTTGAAATAAAATGGATGTTTTCAGCGCGCTGCAGACCGCAGCGTGCATCGTCGCGCTGTGTAGCTTTAAAGCGCACCTTAGAAAGTTGTTCACAAAACTTTTTTTTTTTTTCTCTCCAGTGACAACTCACAGGTTTTTCAGCCGTACGTGTTGCGAACTCGCAGGAACAGTACAACAGTTATGAGCCGTCACAGTATGGTAAGGAATCCAAAGCACGTTTTATTTGCACCTAACAAGAAATAATTGGGCTGGAGAAATGAAGTTCAACTTGATTTGTATTTGCACTAAGCATCCTAGCCAGCTTCCAGGCTGCAGAATATGCATTTTTTTTCACCAGTAACTGCAACCTACAATGAAATAATACTGTTGTATTAACCGTATGTCCCCAAGAAGAGAACAATAGCTGAAGCTATGTGTCATTCCTAGTATTAAGTACAATCTTGTAGTTAATTTGGACCTGGCCATGGATTGGAAAACTGCTGTCACAATAAAAAGTGTTGAAAGGGTGTTTTAATTTTTTTTTAAAATGGAAGAGAGAATGACAAGTCTTCATTGACGTGTTTGTTTGACAGGGCTGCTCTTTTTTTGCAAAGGCTGAGCCCTAGACATCAGAAAATCGTCTGAAGAAGAGTAATTTATTTGCTGGGTGATATTCTGCTCTCTATTATATAAGTCTGGTAGTGTACAGTACTGCAGTTTTCAAAGATGTTGCATTTCTTTTTTTCACCCTTCCCTTGTCAACTTGCAGATCTATGTGCTCTTTTCCACTAAAATTTTTCTTTTTCATCTGAGGGTAGTGAAGATTAAGTATTGCTTTTCTCAGAATCCATAGAACTTAAAGTCCTGAAACATGTTTCTTCTCTGTCTTCTGTTCAGAAAAAGTGAGATGGTGTTACAGTAGGCAGTAGGTGTTACGGTAGACACATGGACATACTGAGTGGGAGCTGTTGGCCCATTTGTATGTGAGGGTGGCCAAAGGACCGGAGGAATTAGATGCATAACATTGTATGCAATTGAAAAATTGCAGAAGTAAAGTTTTAGGGAGTGTTGCTCAAGACTGAGCTGAAACATTGAGATTTCTCCTTTATAATAGCCAACTGGTTGAGTAAGTTAGTACAGGAGTTTGTTGTCTTATTTTAGGCAGTAGGGAATTGTATAATGTTCATAGTTTCATTTATAATACCTCACTTATGTCTAAATGGCATATATAGCTGTTTGTGTCTTTGAGATGCTAAGCAGTATCTGCTTGCAAGTCTGAGATCTGTGCCACTTGCTGAGTGACAGAATGAAAGTGGTAAAACAAGCCTTTTCTCTTGAAGGTCAGTGTTTTCTTTTTGCAACAGTATTTGAGTCATCCACATGTAGTTGTACAGCTCATTTTTAATTCACTAAGAATGTAGGTGATGGTAAATAGGATGTATGCAAGGTGTTGATGTGTGATTTAATTCATTGTGGCTGTTGCTTTTTTCCAGTTGTTGTCATCATCTCCTATTCGTATTCCTAGTAGCCGACTTCATCAGATCAGAAGGGTAAGTGTAGTTTTTCTCTGTATATCTGGTGACAGAATAAAAAGTATTATATAGTGTTGAAGTACTTACATAATGGGAGTTTCTTTCCTATTGAGTTTTTCAAGTACTAGAGGAAACGCAGTCTTTTTTAAGACTTAATTTCAACAAGGAGTCGTCCTTGCGAGGCTTATTGTTGTCATGTTTAAACTACCTTGCATTTCTGAAGTGTTGTTTCATTCAAGAGAAGCGGTGAGCTGGGCTGATAGCAGTCTCTTCTTTCTGGAGTGCTCCTGCTGTTCATATTTCAATTCTAATGGCAAATTATTGAATCATGAGTGTTATTCCAAGTACCTGCGATGAATCAAATGTTATGGGAAAACTTATGACATTTATCTCCTGCAGGAGGAAGGAGTGGATTTAATGAACAGAGAAACAGCACATGAAAGGTGAGTGTTATTGAAACAAGATGATAAAATAGCCAGAATTATCCTCTTTGTAGCTACTGATGGGATTTTTTGTATTCTAGGGAAGTGCAAACAGCAATGCAGATAAGCCAGTCATGGGAGGAAAGCTTAAGCCTGGTAATCTCTTTATAGATGTTTCCTATTTAATTCTACTTTTACACTCAACTGTTTTAAAGAGAGGAATTAACTGTGAAAAACATTTAAGAAGAACTTAAGTTCATCTGCTTTAGCTATTTTGTGCATTTGGCCGAGTGACTTTCCGTTAGAAGGTTGTGCCTTGGATTCTAAGGTGATGTCCTGTGCCAATGTTAAGTTTGAAACCTTGTGTTTACAGAGTGACAATGACTTGGACAAGTCTGAGAAATCTTCCTCCCCAAAGAGAATAGACTTCATTCCAGTTTCGCCTGCACCTTCACCTACAAGAGGAATAGGAAAGGTAGGATATGTGAAATACCAAACTGAGAGAACGTTTTAGAATTTTAGACCAAGGTGAACTGTGAAGACATGTAACTTCACAAATTGTTTGACAGGGTTTTTTTTTAAAAAAAAAAACCAAAACAAAACAACCAACAGCAACAACCCCCCCCCAACCCAAACCCACATTTTATTGGTTTCTAAGAATCAGATGCTTACCATCTTTGAGCCTGCAGAGTTTAAGCAGTGGCCAGTTCTGTCACACTGAATGTTTTCAGTTGCTGCTATTTGTGTAATGCTTGGATGGGTTAGGGTTCTGGTTCTAGGGAAGCTGGAAGAGGTTGTCAGAGCAATCAGACTAGGACATGATCTTCAGCTGCATAAGTGGGGGGGTGCTGGGGAAGAAGCACTAAAATTGGAATGTATCGTTATGTGTAGAGTAAGAGTGTAGACAAAGACCAGAAGCTGCAAATCTGTGTGGTGAGGAGGATGAAGATATGTCCATCAGTTATGGAAAGGAAGGCATAAACTCACTGTGAAGAAGGGCTTGGGCTGCTGAATTTGTACTGAAGGCTGATGGCACACGCTGGAAAAAGGGAAGAGGTGGATCTTAGATAAACTGCTTTTTCCAGTGAGGACTGGAAAACTGAAATGTAGCAGCGAGAAACTGGCAACTGTGTTTAAAGATTGGCTGCTTGACCTTGTTTTCACCCTCTTTTGTGGTTCTGCTTTTGTACTGTTACTATATTATTGCGCCTCTGCCAGTCTTGATGCATGGAGCAGCCATGTGCTAGTGCTGGGTAAACGTGTTCCTGCTGTAACTGATGCTGGCAGCTGGTCCTGTACCTTTGGAATCACAACTGTAAAGCAATAGTTGACTTGACAGAAATATTTTTGTGCTTAGCTATGGGCTTTCATGGGCTAAGCTCCGATTAACTGCAGAACCACAGAGCTAAATAGTCTGTTCTACTCTGGAATATTGTGTTAAATTTTCAGGTCAGATATATTTTGAGTAAACTCAACTCGTTTGTTTAACAAGCCCCTTGAAAGAAGTAAGTCCTGAGTACTGTACTGCTGTTCCTAAATGTAACAAGAAGAACAGAAACAACTGACTTATTTAGAAAACTGTCTATTTCAATTTCAGATTTTTTGTGGGTTTGAATTTTAGATTAATCTAAGCATTACCCCGTATATTTTTGCAAGTTAAGATTGTGTTTGATCATCTCTGCCTTATTCTGTTACTAGGTTTTCTTTAATTTGGGATGTTTTGATTGGAGGGTGGGGGGGAAACACCTGAGTATTTAAAAGGAAATTCTGAAGCATCTTAATGTGACTTTTTCTGCAGCAATGTTTTTCACCATCATTGCAAATGTTTGTGAGCAGTAATGGATTACCTCCAAGTCCTATTCCCAGTCCAACAAGGCGATTCTCCAAGTAAGTAACATCTGCAAGTAACAGGTATACGTTGGCTTAAATTCCAAGGCTAGCACAAAGATTAGTTAAAGCTGATGTTAAAGCTGAAGTATGGCCACATAAAAATGCTCTGGAAATTCAGCTTTTACCAATGGTAGCTTTATGTGGGTTGCTCTTATAGGAGCCTGTATCAACTTTAAACTAGAGTTGGTAACTTGTGGGGAAATTCCTAGATACTTCAAATGAACTTTATTAACTTTGTCAGCATATCAATTTTATATAAATATTACGCACAATTTAGAAATGGATTGAAGTAAGAATGTGATGCTCTAAGGGAAGAAGACCCTAGGAAATTCACTACAACTTTGTGTGGCAGCTAATCTGCTCTAATAGGCAGCGCTTCTTTTTTATCTCTGTATTCGGACTCCCAAAGCATTTCAGTTGTGCAGGAGTAGTTTGAAAGAACATTTCCTATGATACAGTTGTGTTGATTTGATGCTAGCTATGGTGGTGTTCAAACTTGGAACCTTTACAGACCTGACTATCAGTATTCTCTCTCTAGCAGGAGGAGTCAAAGTCCAATCAACTGCATCAGGCCCAGTGTTCTTGGCCCCATTAAAAGAAAAGGTATGTGTATTTATATTATCAGATGTTTTAATATGGATGTAGCTTTGCAGCTGGATACGTTTCTCTCCCATATCTTTTCTGTTGTTTCATTAGTATAATGCACTGTTATCCACAGTGAAGTGGAGTTTGCCAGTCGTAACTTACACAATGTAAAGTATCTAGTCTAAAACACAAGAATGAAAAACTTTAAAAGCAGCTACTGCTTGAAAGAGGAAAACTTTATTCCACATCAAATTAAATGTTATGAATATTGGAGAGCCCTGACATTCCGAAGGGTACCACTGTACAGTACACACCCTTCAGATCATCTTAGGAATGTTGCTTATCATGGGTATCTTCTAAACTTAGTACTGAATGTTTGTTTTTACTCTGAAAGTTCAGAAGGTGAGTATTTAGAGAAATTAACTAGATCAGTGCTCTTTCCTCCTGAAGGGGGAAAACTGCATTCTTTCCTGGAAGTATTCTGTGTTAAGGATGTTCAAATTACATCCCAGAACAAGTGTCCATAGCAGAACTGTAAGACTGAGATATTTACTAGTGTGCCTCTAGCCATGCTTATCCTTTCTGCATTTTTTTTAACTTGGGCATTCTTAACTGCACCAAAAGCATGTCCTTTTATTTTACAAGAATTGTATTTAGCCTTTGAGAAAAGTTACTGTTTATTGGGTTTTTTTGGACTGCTTTTCATATCAGATAAAGAATGTTGTCTAATTTATATTGAATTGACCGGGGAGAAAGAATTGGCATCTGTGAGAAAACTTGTCTATCTTGGCTGTTAGTTTCTATGAATTTTAGAGGCATTAAAAACTGAAGAAAAGTTTATCAAGCTCAATGATCAATAGGAAATAGATATTCATACTGTGTTGTTTTACTTTAAATAGACTAGACAGATTGTATTAAAAACAGTGCAGGTGAAGGGCAAGCTTTCCTCACCCTATCCATGTGCTCTTGTGGAGCATCTTTTACAAGGTGGAGATACGAGTTTGCCTTTTTTACTCAAAATGTCAAGGAATTTTCAAAATGTTACTTAATTTTAAAACATCTAATCCATTTAAACGAACCTATTTTCTTTTCCTAAATATATAATCCTGTTTTCTGAACTTTAGCAGTAGTTTTATGGTTCATATTGTACAGACGTGACATGGTATCAGATTACACCATGATATGTGGAGGGAAAAAGCAATGTACTGAAGAACATTTCACTGCTATAGGGCATTAATACTGGTAGACCGTGCAATGTGTTGTAGCAGTGCAGACTTGTCTTAGTGAAATTTCAAGTGGCAAAAGAGTTACCTAAGTTGGTGGTTTGGGTTTTCTTCATTTTTGTATAAGACCAAGTATTTTATAAATGGTTTTTGCCCATTCTGCTTGATAGAAGCTGTTGTTCCTTCCCTTCAAAGAAGGGAATGTATCCCCATGGGCTAAAGGAAATAGGAAATTTGGGGGTGTTACGAGTCTTTTACAAAGTAAGTGGTAGTATAATTCTCTTGCAAAACATTAATATATACTGGTTTGCTATAATGCTTAACCTCTGTCGGCTTTTCAAACTGACACCACAGCTGCTGTGAAGTGTAGGTAAAAAGTCAGAAAATTTATTTCAATTTCATCTGTTTTTGTTGCCAAACTAAAATATACTGTAGCCGAGAGGGGTTTTTTTTTTTTCTTTAAGCTTGTTATTGGCAAGTTCATGATATTTCCAATGTGTCTATTGTACAGACGCTCTTAATGAGCTAGTGCATTCTCAGGGCAGATTATACTAAACAGATTATATGAATTCTCCCCATCACGTTTAATCTTTTAATGTCAGTAGATGATTACAGGTACAAAGATAGTCTGATCCATGATGAGTAAGTGGAAATGCATGCGCACGTCAATTTTTTTTTTCTATTCAGCTCTTCTGTAAAAGAGTACATATGCATCAGAATCTGTTGTATGCAGGAGGGTGAAACTGTGAACCAAGCTGGCGTTCCTATTTTCATAATCACTAAACAATTTTAACATCCGTATTTTGGAGTATGTCAGTTGCCTCATCTCAACTGCTTAATTTTAAGTCGCAGTAATTAGTTGCTTTAGATTATTTTGTCTGATTGTAGTCTAAGTAGCAAATGCCTGGGTTTGTGTCTTTGAGATCATTGTAGCCCCTCAGATACTGCTGAAGTGTTAGTTAAATTAAGGATGGACTGGATGGTTAAACAGCAGCTAGCATCAAATTGATGTCTTACCCAAGTGCTTGGGTGGCTGAATTAGAGGATTTACCATGTTACAGATGCAACCTTGCTCTATTGTGTGACAAACTTATCTTTTATAATATTAAAAGGTCAAATATAT